GCTCCTGCCCCAGCCCCGGAGAGGTCACCGCCGATTCCCCCCCTGGCTTTTTCATTCAGGGGCATCGACGGGGGAGATAGGCTCAGGGGGGATGCGTCGACCCCCAATCGCCAATGGATCGCCCATAGGGGTCCGATAGCCCACCCCGCCCATGCAGATCCGCTATCGGGGGCCTATCGCCGATCCATCGGCGATGTATCGCCGATTCCAGGTCGATGTTCCCCCCACCCCCCCCTCGGCCAGTACCCTTGGCCTCAGGGTCATAATTCTAGACGCTTCGCGTATCCCCACCAGGTACATAGCTGCGGCACATGAACCCCCCATGAGGCGCATCCCGCTACTGGCTCACTCCAGCTGGGACCTCAGTGGTGAGGTACTGCCACCCCCCACGATGTACCGCGGTCAGCTGCACCCCCCCTCATGCGCAGGTGCTCTCGGCGAGTAACAGATAACGATGTTAATTGTTTCTTGCGGCGGTCAGCTGCACCCCCCTTTCCTCAGCGAAGGTGCTCTCCGCGTGTTCCAACCACCCCTGGGCACACCAGGTGATGTCGACGCCCCCCGGCTCGGCTGCTGGCTGGCCGCGGTGAGGGACGTTGCGTCCCCCGCCGCTCCCTCTGGCTCGGTGGGTGTCCCCCACCCGTGCCCTCGGAGCCCGCCCGCGGCGGCCGCGATGGCCACGTCAGAAGGACCCTATCTGGCAGGCAGCGCTGACGTCTCCACCCCATGTGCCGACCCGCAGCAAATGTCGGCGGTGTTGCCTCCTGTCGGACCTCGTCGCGGCAGGACCCGGTGGCACAGTGGCGCCTTGGGCCGTCGCGGGCCCCATCGGCACAGGGAGTTGTGCTCCGGAGGGCGTGGCTCTGAGTGGTGCAGCCATTGTACAGCCTTTGGTTTCCCTCGCTCACCTTCGTGGCCGCCAGCGGGCCTATCCGCCTCAGGCGCCGGACTCGGTGCGCCTTGGTTGCCGCTGGCCCCCCCCGGCCGGGCGGAGGATTCTGAGAACAGAGCGCTGAGTGGTTCGGCCTTCTGCGCTTGCGTAGCCTCATGTTTTCCACCGCGCTCTGCCCGGCTCCCCCGGTCAGTAGTTCGGCGTGGGCTGGTGGCCTGGAGTTTGGCGCCGGACTGGCGACTCACCCCGCTGCATTCGCACACTCTGCAGTCTGTTTACTTCGGTTCACGCTGCGGCGCCTATGTGCGTTTGCTTGTGAATGTACTTCATTTTGTTCTGTGCATGTGCAACTGCGCACTTGCTGTGCAGGTGCGAACTGGCTTGCCAACGTGGCGGCTGTGTTCGCACATGCACCCCGTGCCGCATCCCGGACGCCGCCTCCGCTCCTTGACCGTTGCCTTGGAGCCGCCGACCAAACAAAATATCCCCACCAGGTTCGATCGGCCCGCGGCCCGGACCTTTCACCACTGCGCCTGCGCTTTCGCTTGCGCCCGCGAGGAAAAGTATCCCCACCAGCCGACTACAGTCGGTTCAGTTGGATGCGGCCACCATGGTACTTTCGTAGTAGTCCGCCACTTGCAATTGCAGACCCTGGCCGCCGGCCACCCTGGTAGTCAGCCGCCCCCTGCAGCTCGATGCATGCGTGCACCCCTGGCAGTGCAGCTACCCTGGCAGCCGCCGTCAGCAGCCTGCCTCCATTCGCCGGCCTGGCCGACGAAGTGCCGCGTGAGGTTTTGGCCCATTGGCTTTAAGTTAATTCGTCTTTGCGCGCCCCGCTCTGACTGGACACGCCGTCGGCGCCTTCGCCCGCGGCCGCTGACTAAAAAAGTATCCCCACCAGCCCGTCCAGAAATGAGTCCCAGGGGAATGGAGGTTATGAGGGAAGCGGGGGAGCATGCAGAAGAACAAAGGGCGGGGTGAGCCGCCATCTACCCCAAGAGGGGGAGGATGTAGGAGGAACCGTGGTCGTCGGAGTAGGAGGAGGAAGAGGAGGAGCAGGAGGACGAGCAGGAACAGGAGGGGGAGGAGGAGGAGGAGGAGGAGGAAAATGAGGAGGAGGAGATGGAGGACTGCGAGGACGAGGAGGACGAGAAGGAGGAAAAGGAAACGGATGATGAGGAGGAGGAGGAGGAGGAGGAGGAGGAGAAAGAGGAGGAGGAGGAGGAGAAAGAGGAGGAGGAGGGGGAGGGGGAGGGGGAGGAGGGAGGAGGAGGAGGAGGAGGAGGAGGAGGAGGGAGGAGGAGGAGGAGGAGGACAATGGCGAGCTTGGGGGCCTCTTGGGCCGTCTTTGGGGCCTCTTGGCGGTCCCGGGGGCCTCTTGCATATATCGGGGAGTCTCTTGGAGCCTCTCGGGGGTCTCTTGGGGGCGTCGTGGCCTCTTGAGTGCCTCTTGGGGCCTCTTGGGGCCCTCTTTCTGTTTTCGAAAATGTTCATGCGAGACATTTCGTGAGGGGTCTGCTCGAGTCCCCCGTCCCTGCAGCCTGTTTGGCTCGGCAGTGGGCGGGTGGGTTTCATATTGCAGGCGGGGTACCGCCTCAGGACGGCGCGGGCCAGCGCGCCGCCGATACTCATAGCGAAAAGGGTTCGCATCACAGTCTTCATTTCTTTCTCAATACTTACGTCACAGACGATAGTGACGAGCAGGGCTCCAGGGTGCCCTTCAAGTCAGATTGGTAGCGAGAGCAGAGTTTCGACCACGGTCTACATTGTGACGAGCACGATCGTCGGCGACAATTGTCGAATGGTGCGACTACGACCGGAGGAGCTGCTGGCGGCTCAGCAGCACTCCGACTAGACGTCCCGTCATGGGGCGGAGAGCCCGACAGACTGCTGGCATACAAGTTCGACGTTGGGCTCTTCAGCAAGAGCTATAAGACGCAGGACAGGTACGTTGCGGGACCCCAACTGGTGAGAGCGTTAGGGGCAAGAACACGCAGACTGGCACACGCGTGCCCAGACATCGACAAGTTCGACGAAGTCAACGACGAGGGTAAGATGACAGGATGGCAACGCGTCTTCGACTTCCTCTTGTCGAAGCTCGACCTGTCCGATGTGAACGAGATGGGGAACTCAGCTGAAAAGTTCTTCAACAAGCTCCAGCGGGAGCCGGGTGAGGGCTTCCCCGACTTGGACGGCGCGCTGGGAGGCGCGCGAGCGCGACCCCTTGTCACAGCTTAAGGCGGTGGACAGCCCAGTCGAGGAGGTCATCGCAGCGCCTCTGAGGACGTGGTGGTACCTCCGCCGTTCGCGCCTGAGCCCCGTGGCAAGGGCCGAGATCGCTGCGACGGCGGGCGGCGACTACGACTTCGGCAGGACGTACAAGGCGCCGTGCACGAGGTGCCCGCTGGAGGCGCTCAAGGAGATCGACGGGGCCCGCGAGAAGAAGGACAGGCGCGCAGGGTTCTTCGGCGAGGCAGAGGAGGCCGAGCAGGAGGACCACGACTTCGAGGACAGGTCCGAGATCGCGGACATCGTGGGCCAGCTGGTGAACTTAGCGGATGAGGAGGACACGACCCTCTTCGAAGACGCCGAGCATGCTGACGACTACGGGGACGGCATCTACGCGGAGTTCAGGCAGCTGGGCAGGAACTTCAAGGACGCGAGGGACCTCATCAGGAAGCTCAAGGTGGCGAGGGAATACAACCCCGTGCTCGCTCCTCGATCGGCGGAGGGACCCCCTCGTCCTCGACAACCACGTGATGGCCAACGCTCTTCTCGCCAAGATGGTCAACGATCCTCTCGTCAGGACGGTGGTCAAGAACCTGCGCGTGACAGGCGTAGGATGAGATGTCTATCTTGCCGCAAGTTCGGACACCAGGCGAAGGACTGCCCCGGGAGGGCGAAGGACCGCGGCAAGCCACAGCCCAACGAAATGACCTCGTTTGCGCTTCTAGAGCTTGGCGACCTGGTGCTCATCTTGGACGACGTGCGCGGCATCTGGGCGATCCTCGGCTGCGGGGCCACGAGGAGCCTCATCGGCGCGACGATGGCCGAGCACCTCATCTACGACATGGAGGAGAATCACAACATACTGTTCGACGTGGCGGGGCGGACGCGGTACTTCACTTTCGGCGACGGCAGGCGCAAGAGCTCGATGGGCACCATGACGGGTGTCATTTTTTCGGCAACGGCCAGGAGAAGATCGAGATTTCGATCATGGACAACGAGGTGCCACTGCTGATCGGCATGGGCGTGCTGGGATCTGATCATACCGACGCCCTCATCGACTGCGGGAACGGCTACCTGATGCCGCCGAAGATCTCACATCACGTCTTCCAGTGCCAGAAGATGCCCAGTGGTCACCTGGCCATCAACGTGACGACTCCGACGTGGTGGCAGAACGCCCCCCAGAGCCTCCCGAACATCGTCGGGATCACACTGTGCAACGCCCTGGAGGACGAGGCTAAGACGTCCGCGGTCGCGGACGAGGCGGCGCTGGCGCTGGCGCCCGCGGCTGGCGCGGGGGCCTCGAGCTAGGGGCATCACCCCCTGGTGGATCCGAGAAAAGTTTTTTTCCTCTAGTCCATCGGGGGGGGCCCAAGAAGACTCCAGAAAAGTCTCACGCCCTCGAGAGATCCTCAGACTTCCCGAAGTTCGAAGACGCCGACAGGGGTCAGGATGTCCTAGCTGCACCCCCTGGGCCTACTCCTACACCCCCAAGCCTCTCGAGATCTCCAACAGCATCTCCGACGAGGGCATCTTGGGGACCCATCTTCGGGGGCCAAGAGTTCGAGAGCAACGATCAGAGAAACCGAGACATCTCCAAGAGCGCAGACTAGTGCGAGTACGAAACTCCCGACACGGCAATCTGAGCCCCCCCCCGATCCTGACGATTGCGATGCGCACCGAGCTCTTTCGGCTCGAAAGGGCGTTCAATCAGGAGGAGATCCTCAATATTCATCTACGCTTCCATATCCAGCGGATGCCACGCCGCCGTGGCACCATCTCATCGCCTTCGGGTGTGCCACCGCCGCCATCCCCTACAACGGAGCGTCCGCGAGATCGCATAACTACTCCTGTCGCGTCAAAGCTGCCGACAACAGCCAAGGCGAGTGCGTCGACGTCAGCTCAGATCCAGTCCGAGGCCAGGGCCATCCAAGGCGAGTTCGCTTCTGTGCCTCCAAAGGATGTGACCACGAATGCTGCTGGAGCGAATCCGACCGCCACCCTCGTCCAGGCGGCCAAGTCCAAGGCGCCGGGATTTCAGAGGTGCGGCTGCTGCGGCCAACCAGGTCGCGAGCCGAACGGGTGTTCGTGCACAGGAGGCCAGACCTACAAGTGTCTGCTGGAGGGGGCCGGGCACCCGTCGCTGAACTTCGCGCAGAACTACCGTCCACCTCGTCGGAAGAACGACCAGCCACAAGCAGGCCTCCCCGAGTGCGCGATTCCCAGGTCGGCGAGCCCCGAGGTCAGTTGGCGGTGCAGGTCCGAGGTGATCTGCATGAGGTGGAGGCGGATGCTGTCCAAGGTCCTGGAGAAACTGGCGAACGATCCGTCCTCGGAATCCTTCGAGATGCTGGACGACTCGCCCGAGAAGGAGATGGCCAGCAAGAGAGGGCGCGAGTGCCCCTGACCAGCGAGGACCTGGACACGATGCAAAAGGCTGTCAACCAGTACGACCTGGACTACACGAAGGAGATTGGCGACGACGTCAACTTCCTGTCCCGCAACGGCCGCTACGACTTGCTCGAGGTCTGCACGCCTCCGAAGTCCCGTCTCTCCCAGGCGGTGATCGACCTAGGTGGAGCCGCCTCCCGAGCTGGGGTGCACAACGGGTTCGACATGGCGATGAAGACGGGAGTACGACGGCTCGCTCTGTGGATTCGTCAACATTGGCCTCGACGCATCGTCCTGAGTCCTCCGTGCGCCGCGGACTGCCAACTCCAGAACTGGAACCAGAAGACCCCAGAGGACCGCGAACGTCTACGTAAAAATGTGCAACAGGCTCGTCGAATACAAGCTGGGTGCGAGACCATCATGTCGGTCGGGCTCCAATCCCGTGGGACCGAGATCGACCTGGAACAGCCGCAGAGATCCCATAGGTGCGGACGTTCGGAGGCCCTGAAGCGCATCAGGGAGCAGACCTACGAGACGCTGGTGGCTGGCTGTGCTCACGGCCTTCGCTGCCCCCGCAGCGGCCTCCTCTTGCCCGAGGTCTGGAGGATCTGCTCTACCGACCCCGAGCTGCAGAAGGCCATCGGCAAACGCTGCAGTAACCGCCCAGGTCGGCATGACAACCACGAGCACGGTGAGATCATCGGGGGGAAGGTGGTAGTGGCTACAGCGTTCTACCCTGAGGCGTTGTGCAAAGCCTGGGCGAAGCACTCTCTGAGTGCGGGGGGTGGTACTACAGCTGGAACATCAGCCCTCTTGGCGACGGACCAGGATATTGACGACGGCTTCTTTGAGGGCATCGACGCAGACGGCGACCAGGAGATGGAGGACCAGCAGGTGTCAGACGAGGAGCTCGACGAGGATGACCTCAGGGAGCTCTCCAAGGACGGTGGCACGCTGAGCACCAAGGAGGCCCGGGAGATAGAGCACCGCCTCAGCCGACTTCATCGCAATCTGGGCCACCCCGGCGTCCGCACCATGTTCAAGATTCTCGAGAACTCGGGCGCGAGCATCCAGGTTCTGAAGATGGTCAAGAAGTTTAAGTGCCATGCCTGTGACTCCACGGCGTTGCCGAAGGCCGTCAGAACAGCTGCTGGCATTGACGTTCCCGAGGTCTTCGAAGTGATGGGGGGTGACGGCCTCGAGTGGACCGACCCTGTTGACGACGCGACCTACCTGTTCACGCTGAACCTTGACGAGGGGTCTGGACTCACGCAGATCTTCAACCATGGCGACAAGTCCCAGAGGTCCGGCAACCGATCAGCATCGGACCTCCTCGACACCTGGAGATCCTGGACGAATCACTACCGCGCTCCTCGCCTCATTCGCTGAGACGCTGAGGGCTGTCATCGAGCGGAACTTGCCAAAAACTGGTGCAGTACGCACGGGATCGAGATCTTCATCGCTCCCGGCGAAGCGCACTGGCTCATGGGCAAGGTTGCGCCGGATCCAGTTGTTCAAGCGGACTCTTACCAAGTTCAGGAAACAGAATCACGACTGCGACAAAGACGAGGCCATCAGCCATGTCACGCATGCGATCAACGATCTTGACAAGGTCGGGAACCATTCACCCTTCGCACGCGCCTTTGGTACTGGAGGCCATCGGTGCTCGGGCAACCCCTTTGCCATCGTGGACGACAGCCACGGAGAGTCCCGGGAGCAGAGGCGACTTCTGGCACGTCAGAGCTTCATAGAGGTGGAGTACTCAGAGCGACACCGACATGCAGAACATGCTCGCAGCCGCGTGACGACTCGCTGGAACACCGGCGAGCATTGCTACTACTGGCGGAAGGGCCGTGGTCCTGTCAAGGCAACCTGGTATGGTCCAGCGCGCGTCTTAGTTCAAGAACAACGGGTACTTGCAGGCTCGACGCGCCCAACTTCTGTCGTGTGGATCTCGCACGGCGATGTTCTTCTTCGGTGCGCTCCTGAGCAACTGCGTCCAGCTACGGAGGCCGAGCGAATGGTCGTGGAGCTCAACAACATGGAGGGACGCGGGGCTACCATGTCCGACTTGATGGAGGTCGCCGCGGAACGTTCGAGGACCTCACCAACGAGAGCCGACCACACATGCAGAACTTCGAACCACAGGCGATCCAGCCGTCCGAGCCACCCGAGGACCTTGACGATCGGATGGACGAAGAGGCTGCTACACCTGATCCCTCGGACGGACGTTCTGAACCAGCAGGTGAGGCCGACGCCACCTGAATCGTCTCCGCCTTCCCCTTCAAGTATCTCCTCCATCGAGCAGCCTGTCTCGAAGCAGTCTCGGTTAAGTTCTCCGTCCAGAGTGAGCTCAGCCCCACCTGCTGACCTACCTCATCGGCGCTGGCGCATGTCCTCCAAGGGCGACGGGGCCACCTACCGACAGTCACCTGCTGAACGACGACAGGACCGACCTGGGCCCTACTCTGAGGGTAAGCCAACAGTCGAGGACAACGATGAGGAGCTCTTCTCTCGGATCACCTTCGACGGGAACCGGCGCGGCACCGACTTCGAGCTGATCGACGAGAACATGACGGTCTACTACGAGATGGTCAAGTCCGAACTTGCGGACAGTCAGGGCGGACGTCGTCTCACCTCTCAGATGTTGGACTGCTTCGTTGCCAACCAGAAGCGGAAAGATAAGATCGAGTTTCACTGGGGAAGGCATTTCCCCCTCCGAGAAGACGGAGTTCCGCAGGGCCATGACCAAGGAGGTCGCCAACTGGAAGCAGTGCAAAGGTCTCCGCCGCGTACCCGTCTCCGAGGTAAAGGATCCTGCGGACGTGATCAGGTGCCGCTGGGTGCTGACGCGCAAGGGCGATGGGACCGCAAAGGCGCGCCTCGTCCTCCTCGGCTACCAGACCAAGGACATCGGACAGGAGCCGACCGCGTCACCAACGGCCTCGCGCCGCGCTCGGAATCTGCTCCTCACGGTCGCGGCCGCCAACTCCTGGACCATCGTCAAGGGCGACGTGACCAGCGCGTTCCTGCAGGAACGACCTGAAGAAGGATCTCTTCGTGGAAGCCGACGAGGCGCTGTCCGCTGAGTTTGGCGTTCAACCTGGTCAAGTGCCACGCGTGGTGAAGCCGGGCTACGGTGTCGGCGAGGCTCCTCGCAAATGGCGGCAGACGGCGAAGCAGGACTTCGCCAAGCTGGGATTGCAGGCGTGCGATCTCGAACCATGCCTGTGGAGTCTACGCTGTCCTGAGACCAAGGCGCTGATGGGGCTCATCATGTGCCACGTGGATGACTTCATCCTCTGCGGTGACCGAGATCATCGTGCATGGCGGAAGGCGCTGAAGAGCATCAAGGACCTTTACACGTGGGGCACCTGGGGGGACATGGACGACGGGATTGACTCCATCGAGCAGCGTGGCGTGACGATCGAGAAGAACGAGAAGGGTTTCTTCCAACACCAGCAGGGCTACATTGACAAGCTGAAGGAGATCTTCCCAAAGTACCCGAAGGCCAAGGGCAGCGACCGATTGACCGAGGCGGACCAGAGTACCTTGAGAATTTGGTGTGGAGCGCTCTCTTGGCTCGGAGTCAATACACTTCCCTGGGTTTCAGCATGGGTTGCATATGTTCAAAGCAAGATACCCAATGGTGACTACAAGCTCTTTTCGATGGCGAACAACATCACCAATATGGTCAAAGCCAATCGGACGGACGGCATTCAGATCTTTCGCCACCAACTGCCAGGATGCGGACGAGGCGGCTCCGATTTTCGTATCTACACCTGGTGCGACGCTGCTTGGGCCAGCCGACCTGATGGACATTCCCAAGGAGGTCACGTTACAGCTCTCAGTTCGGCAGAAGGACCAGTTCAGGAGGCATACGACTTCACTGTCTTAGACTGGGATCTCGCAAGCTCAAGCGGGTTGCCAGGTCCTGCCTGTCTGCGGAGATCCAGGGGGCCAGCGATGCGGAGGGTGAGCACATGATGTTTCGCCTGGTGCTCTACGAGGTGCTCTTCGGGTCGGTCGACCTCCAGAATCGCGCTGCTGCTCTGCATCACATTCCAGGAGCTCTCGTGACGGATTGCAAGGCGTTCTACGACGGGGTAGTGAAGTCTGAGTCGGCCGGCTTGGGCCTCGACGAGAGGAGGACGGCCATAGAGGCGCTCGCCTTGCGACGGGCCCTCGAGGAGGGCGAGACGATCGTGCGCTGGGTACATAGCCATGCCCAGCTGGCCGACGGCATGACCAAAGCCAGCCAGCAGGCCTTCAATGTGCCCCATGCTTCCCTGAAGAGCCAGCGGTGGAAGATCGTTCACGATGAGAGGTTTCTTTCGGCTCGCAAACGGTCTGCCCTTGGTAAAGGGATCTTCGACGAGACGACTGAGACCGACCACAGCGAGGCCAGGAAGATCCTGGAAGGCCGGAGGCGGGTCCAGCCCCCTGCTCGCGACGTGGCCACGGCAGGTGCCACGTCCTCCGAGCTCGAGCAGATTGCAGGCGGGGTACCGCCTCAGGACGACGCGGGCCAGCGCGCCGCCGATATTCATAGCGAAAAGGGTTCGCATCACAGTCTTCCTTTCTTTCTCAATACTTACGTCACAGACGATAGTGACGAGCAGGGCTCCAGGGTGCCCTTCAATTCAGACTCTTGGGACGCTCTTGGGGCGCTCTTGGGAGCCTTCGGGGCGCTCTTGGGGCCATCTTGGAGGAGATCTATCAATCAAGGGGGGGATCGTCTATTAGCCTTGCCCCTCTAGAGTGCCTCGAATCGCCTCTTGGGCCCTTCTTGAAGCCAAAATCCTTCCAACACCTAAGGAAAGCCAATGTTGTGTGCTTTTTCGCGTTTTCGCTCTTGGAGCCATCTTGGGAGCCTCTTGGGGCCTCTTGGGGGTCTCTTGGGAGCTTATTGAAGGCCTCTTGGGGGCCTCCCACCCCATCCTTGCCCCCTGCTGCCCTGGCAGTGCCAGTGCCCCACTCGGCCACCCCCCCCCCTACGGTCAACCAGCACAGTAAGGATGGGCACCCTTCCCAAGGGTACCCTTGCATCCTTGCATCCTCGGTCCATCCTTGGCCGCTCTCGCTGGCCAGCCTCACTAAAAAACATGAACGTGGCCCTCCAAGGCCCGTGTACCGCGCATCCTTATCATACGGGTTGGCTGTATCGCTGCTGCCTCATTCCTGGGGGGCCGCGGCCGCGGCGCGCCGTGCTCGCCAACTGGCAGGGGGCCGCGTCCGACCCCGTTTCTTCGCGGGCGGTTTCGGGATTTTTGCAAAGGGCACCGCCGCTCCACCCCGGCCCGCCTCCTCTGGGAGGCGGGGGGCGTTCCCGCCTCCCCGGGGTGGGCCCTGCGAGGCGGGGACATGTCCATGTCCACTGCCCGTGGGACCCAGCGGGCGGTGGATACAGATGCACCTTGGGCCCCCGGAAACCGCCGCATCCGTCACTGGCGACAGCACCGCCGCCGGCGCCGACACCATCACCGACCGCGAAGGCCCGACGACGGGCCTGGAAGCGGGCCAGGCGCAAGGCACCGAACGAGCCATCCGACGGCCCCTTCCCGTCGCCCCTCCCGGTCGCCCCTCCCGACACGTCACCCGACGCCCCTCCCGACTCGCCCCAGGGCCAGCAACAGCGACCGCAGGGCGGTCAGCGTCGGCCACTCTGAAGGCCACCGCAGACGCAGATACCGCAGACGGCCACCAACGGCGTTCACCGATGGCCACGACGACAACGCCCATCACCAACCACAGACCCGACGCCCACCACGGCGCCTACTCGATGCCCGACGGCCAGCCCGACGTCCGCTCCAACGTCATCTCTGACACCGAACCTAAACGCCTCCGTCGTGCGCCACAGCCTCGCCTGGCTCCCGAGCCTGGCACGACTGCTCGGTCACGATGCCCCACCTCGACGGATGAGCAACACCAAGGGCTGCGACCTGCAGCGCCGCGACGAGCTCCACGACGGCGATCATGAGCACAAGCGCCAAGACTTCGATGAGCAGTACCACCACCACGGCGAGCACCACGACTGCGACCGACAGCACCGCCACGACTCCGAGCACGACAACGGGCACCGCGACTGCGACTGCCAGCACCGAGCGCGACCAGCAGTACGACCACGGCGAGCACCACGAATGCAGCCAGCAGCACCAACACTCCGACCTCGACAGGCAGCACCGCCGCCAACCCGACCTCCTGCCAGACGCCCAACCCAACGCCCAACCCGACGCTTCCCCCTACGCGCAGTCCAATTCGCAACGCTACGCACTTCCCTACGCCCTCCCCGAAGCTCCACTCGACACCCTCCCCTTGTGACCAGCAGCAGCAGCACGACGCCCACCACGAATGCTATCAGCAGCAGCGCCACGACTGCGATCAGCAGCAACACCAGCGCCACCACAGAGTCGACCAGCAGCACCACCCCGCTACAGCGAGCTCAAAGACTGCGAACAACAGCGCGACCACGAGTGTGCCCAGCAGCAACACCACAAGGACTGCGAGCAGCGGCAACATGACGTGCTCCGAGACTGCGACACACAGCCCGACGCCCACGTACTGGCCGACGCCCTACCCGACGGCCACCCTCACGGCCACTCGGCGACCAACCACCGCCACCTCGACGGCCGCCACGACTTCCACCGACACGGACTACCCACATTCACAACCACCATGACGGCCTCCAATGGCCAGCGCGACGGCCAACAACGGCCAACCCAGGCGGTCACCAACGGCCACTCCGACGGCCACGACGGCCCACCGCACGGCCACCGACAGCCGTCACAGGCGCGCTAGGTGCGCTTCGCCACCCAAGCACACGAGGTCATTGCAGACATTTCCAGACCGTGGTGGCTGGTGCTTCTCAGCGCACCTACCAACCAGTGCCTCGCCACCCCCAGCGCACCTTGCGACTCGAGGGGATGCGAGCACTCCAGCCAGTGCACCACCTTCCCCCTCCGCCCGTCGTCCTTTCCTCCTCCTTCCCCTCCCCCTGCTTCCCACGGGGAGGGGGGGCTTTGTCTGCCTTTCTGTGCTTCGGGGGACCCCCTTCCCTCTCCCCCCTCCTTCCGTCCTGCGTCGGCCCGTGCGTTCGGGCCCCCGTTGTCCTCCTCCTTCGGGCCCCCGTGGCCCCGTTGCCGCCCCGCCCTCGTCCCTCCCCGGCCCCGCCCGCCGGCGCGGAGATCGGCCATGTTCGGACTTGCCCCGCCTGGCGCGACAGACGGCGCCGCCGGGTGGGGGCAATGGCAGCGTCGCGTAGACCCAAGAGCCACCGGAGTCCAGAGTCCAGAGTCCAGGAGGAGGAGGAGGACCCACCATCGATTCGTCATCCCATGGTCCATCCTATCGTTGCTCGGCGGCTTCGCTGGGATCACTTGTTTCACGACTCGGGGAGGTACGGGTGCTGTAGGCCCACTTTGACCACATCGTCGTGTCCAGGACCCCCCCCGCTCGATGAGGCGACCGTCTGAGCCGACGCCTCGCCCTCGCCCTCCTTCTTCCCTTCCATTCCCTTCCGTCCGCCTCCCTCCTTCTTTCTCCTCCCTCCCAGTCCCTCCTCCTTCAGGAGGGAAAAAAACACACACAGACACAATTAATCGTCGACTCCCCAGAAAATATGGGAAAATATGGGAAGTGGGGGGGAAGACAGAAACCCAGAAAATATGGGAAAATATGGGGAATCTTATTATTTGTGTGTATTTATTTGTGTGTCCCAGTTTCCCTTCACTCCTCCTCCTCCCTCCCGTCCTGCCCTCCTCCCTCCCGTCCTCCCTTCCTCTCCCCCGTGAGGCGGGCGCCTGAGCCGCCGTCCCGCCCAGAGGAGGGGCCGGGCCGCGGCCTGAAGGGCGGCCGTCACCTCGGCGCCAGGCTGGTCGGCCGGATGGTCGTCGGGTCGTCGCCGCCGCCCTCCTTGGCGGCTGCCGCAGGGGCGGAATGCCCAGGGGGATTACGGAGGAGGACGAGGACGACGAGGACGAGGAGGACGAGGAGGACGAGGAGCACGAGGAGGAGGAGGAGGAGGAGGAGGAGGAGGAGAAGGAGGAGGAGGAGGAGGAGGTATGGTATGGTATGGGTTTGCGCTAAACGCGGGGTCAAGCCCCAAATCAGAATGGCTCGGCGTCGGAGTCGCCCTCCTCAGGGCTGTCCGCGCTCCGCTGCAGGGCCGATCGGCCGAGGTCGCGGACCAGTTCGAGCTCCCCCTCCCACAGCCCAAACGCCCTCAGAACCTCGGCCCGCCCCCCAAGATCAGCCCGCCCCCATCCGCCACTAGCCCCGACGCTTGGGGCCGAGGGCTGTGGCTCTGGGGGCAGGCTCGGCTCGGCCTCGGCTAGGCTCGAGCGGGTCGCTGGCAGCACTCCGTGCGGCCTCCCGACCTTCAAAGAGCGCACATTGGCGCGGTAAGAGGGGAATTCTCCTTTCTTGATCCTACGCAGCTGGTCCACACCACCAGCTTTGGCCTTCTCGGGACACCACCCCGAGAGACCCGTAGTTAGCTTGCCGTCCGAGGATACGGTGCCACAGCGGCAGCAGAAGACGACCGAGGAAACGTGGGCGGTGCGGCTGAGCACGTCTGCCTCCAGCAGGTTGTGGCCTCGCAACCAAAAACTGGCGTCGGCATACTCCTCCCACCCGTCGCCCACCCCGTAGCCACCGAGCGACGACGACCCCACTTCCCCACCACTGCTGCAAGTCTGGGGCACAGGCTCGGGGTCCTCTGGGGTCTCAGGGTCTTCCGCGGCAGCTGAGCCCCGAGACCTCCAGTACGCTTCCATCAAGTCATCGTGGTCCTGGCCATCGGACTCAACGTGCACACAAGCCGCCCATCGGGCGGATTCTTGGGCTAAAAACTTAAAGCCTTGCCACAACTGAAACTGCTCCTCACCCACGCCGTGCTCCGCAGCACCTAGCTTCGCAAACCTGTCGGCGTGGGCGTTCCCTCTGAACTCCCACTCAGTGGTAGCACCCGCATCTACCTGGGCCCTGGTGCAATGGGCCTTGGTTTTAAAAACTTGGAAGTCCCCTTCCGAGAACGCTCCCCAGAACGGACTCCAGAGCTGGGCCCGACCACAACTGCTTTGGGATCCCGCGCCTTCGCCGCCACGGAGAGTCCCAACAGTGCCTGCACAGTCTATAAAGACATCGAAGGGCGCCATAGCACATACACGCAGCATCGAGACGGCGTAATCCTCCGCGTCTCTAGAGCTCTGCTTAGGGCACACACTGCATGGGACGGGCCCGTAGGCCGCCGAAACTAAATTTCCAAACCTATCTACCTGCACTATGGCCCAGCCCGCTCGGGCCAAAAACGGAGCTGAGGCCCATAAGGCCGAACCGTCTAAGAGCAGCGTGCCACTCAGGAGCCCTGACTCAGGTCTGTTGTGCCACAAGATGGTCTCTTGGGCCTCGGTCGGGACGGGGAAGACCAACTCTGGCGACGGGAACAGGCCTCTCGCAAACCTCTCCCCCTCGTCGTACCCCCATTCGCGGACCCTGCGAGCCCTCGTCCTGTGGAAGTCGTCAACCCATTCGCGCCTGAGCCCTGCATACTTCGGGCACTCGTAGGCCCTGTGCCACAAGGACCCTTCAGGATCATCACATACACAACACCTCGCTGAGCCGACAAGTCCATGGTGGTGGAGCCGACTTTGTGGCCAGTGTCCTCCAGAAACCAAGGATCTCAACGTCCTCGGAAACCTCTTCGTCCAGGATCCCTTGGTCCGATGCAGGAGCCCCTCAAGTCCTGCCCAAAATATCGGCATATTCCACCTGGCTTTGGGCTCACGACAAAAAAGAGCTTGCCGATCAGAAGCTCGCCTGGCGCCTGCAACTGCTAGCTCCTGAACGAGCGCTGGAGGTAAAACTCGAAGGTCTAGTGCTTCCTGCCGATCCGTGACCATGCACGCACCTGACCGCAAACTCCAGCCTATTCTGCGAAGACTGAGAACGGCTACTTCGGCTGGGGCTGCTGCTAGCCTCCAAGGTGTTTGAACTCCTTCTAGGCGGCCCAGGGCTCCTTCCAGACACCGTTCCAGGACGAGAAGCTTCGGGAACGACTCCCAGACCGCTGTCGCCCATTGGAACACAACCATCCCGACGTTCAACAGCAGTGGGTCCACTCGGCAGCATAGCTCTGGAGACGGAGCCCGACCGTGGAGCCCTTGGGGACCTTCCCGAGACTTCCAGCAGCTCCCAATCGAAGACGATGCAGTTGGGTCGAGGGAATCCCCATGATGCTGGACCCCCATAGAGCCGACGCTGTAGGGCCTCCACGTTGAATGAACCCCGTGTTGGCCCCCGCCTCCCTGAGCTTCTTAATCTTAGCCGTCCTCCCTCTGGCCTTGTCCCACCTGTCCCGAGTGATCTGAACCCTCCGTAGGGACCCCATCACCGCGTCGGTGCCGAGGTTCCTTGCATGATCCACCTTGCTTTCCTTCGGGAGGTCCCACAGGGGCTGCAAGGCCTCACTCAAATCCGAGTCGCTTGTCATGTACTTCGACTTTTCCGAGACGGGGAGCTCGAGCTCCGAGAAACTGGACAACAGGGACTGCACTCCTGAGGCGAGCTGCGGTGCAATGAGCTGCTGCGGACCAACAATCTGCAGCGCGATGTCGTCTATCACGTTTCTGATGCACAACTGTGGCCGGCCAGACTGCGCGGCCGCGAGCGGCGATAACAAAAGTAGCTTCGTAAGCGTGGTAGCTGCTGAGCACCCTGCAATCACTGCCCCATTACCTTGCACCTTCCTAGATACCGCCCCTCCATAGTGCAGCATCCTATCCCCAGCATAGATCACGCACAGCCCTCGCAGAAGCTTCAAATGGAAACCATGCTGGCACGCCGCACGATGCAAATCCATATGGTCGATGTGCTCATAGAACTTCTTAAGGTCCAGAAGCACCAACGCCGCCGAGGTCCCTAGGACTTTCCCGAAGTGGGCCAGCATGTTATGGACCCATCCTGCTCTCTCGCAGGTCGACGTGGCCCCGACGCCCCAGAAGAAGGCCTGCTCGTGGGCCCGTTCCCAGGTACGGCAGATGTTTTGACGACGCTTCGACCAAATCTTGGTGAACATGCACAATAATCCTATCGGGCGTACTCCACCATCTGGCTTGTCAAGGAAGATGATATTCGTCAAAAACTCTGCAATCACACAAGGTCGATCTTCGAACGAGTGAAGGATGTTCATAACACGCGATTGATATTCCTCTGGAAGAAACAAGATCTGGCGGGGGTGGAAGGAGTCCCACCCAAGACCAGCCCCTTCCCCATACGAGTTACACACACGCCTCAACTGCTCCAAAGATATAGGTGGCAATTCATGTCCCAACACATCCCAATGAGCTGGGTGATTTTTGCTGAGCCTGCCTTCTTTGCGCCAAAGGGGAAGCCATTGATCGAGAAGCTGGAGGAGCGCAAGCTCACCGTTGACTGGCAAGCGGCCATGGTCGTCTACGACACTGAACGGGGCCGTCCTGTCTGCGCGAGAGACCCTGGAATAAGCATGAGCTGCCTTCCCTCCCCGCTGCACTGACGACTTTGCCCACTCCTTCCACTCCGACAGGGACTCCTTGGCGTCCGACTTGCGCAGGCCTTCGACATACTCTCGTAACTGCCCGAACAGCCCTTCTAACTCCTCTCTGAGCCCCATGGATATCCCTTCTACTAGGCTGATCAAAAAGCGGGCATTCGCGCCTTCGTCTGGCGCCTCCAGCGCCGAGATCATCCCGTACAGGGCGGCACACCATTCGTGAAAAAGACCGCGTGCTCTGGCTCCTAGCATATCTTGGCCAACTGCAGCTGCACGACGAGCCAACGCCTCGAAGGACATCCAACTGGTGGTCCGCTTTGAATATCTCCTCCTAGACTCTCGGTCCCAAACCGTCTCGAGGGGAATCTTTATGACCTTAGGGCCCCCAGCTCTTCCACACATCCTGGCAGCGCTAGCACTGTCTAAGTCGTGGAACTGCGTGAGCCAGCCCTCAGCTTGGGTAAACCATTCCCTGACCATGGACCCCAAACAGTGCGAGCCACCTCCGACTTCCCAAGACCACGTGCTTTCCGTAGGGAGCCTCCGGGGACCCACGAGCTTGTCCAGGGGGAACTGCATATATCTAACCTGCTTCGGGACAACCGTCGACGGGGCCAGGTTCTTGACGACGATGCCCACAGGCATATGAGGCCACGAAGGGGCTGCTGGGAACGCCAGGACATCCTTGACGCAGTGCCCTAAACACCTGGACCCCACCAAGAAATCGATCTCCCGCTCATCCTTCCTGTCGACCTCCTCCTCTGGCCCCGAACTGGTTACTGGAGCGGGCCCTGCTCTACGCGTAGCGTGGCCCGTCGTAAACATACAGCCCCCGACCTTGGACACCCATTCCGATGCTTCAAGCTCTTCAGGAGTAAGGTTCCAGTCACCTTGCACAATCCAGAGGCAAGTGAGGGACTTTATGTACTCGCCGAGAGTGTTCAATAACTCAACATTGCCCCCTGTTACGCCAATGCTGGTGTAGAGGTAGACCGAGAAAACCATCAACCCACCTGGAAGTCCTACGTTGATGTGCCTGCTTGCCACGCGCGACTTGAAAGATTCCAACTCGGGTGGCCATGGCACACTAGAAGACGCCAGGGAGCTGGCCACTGCCAAGCCTACTCCTGCCGAGGACTGCGTCGGACCTGTTCCTGTGGACGCTGCTGGCCCTAGAGAAAACGCGAAGGAGCGGCGATCACCCCAGCCGTAGGCGGAGTCCAACTTACCCTTCTCCTTCAGCCGAGTCTCTTGTACACAGATCACATGCGGC